CGGGGCCGTGACGGCTTTCGATTTCACGACGAAAGGGATTCTGCAGGCGGCCGTGGAAGGGGAGCTGTGGAGGTTGAGAGATGGGAATGGGAACCCGCCCGGGTTGATCGGGTTGCTGCCCGGAAATGCTGTGACGTTTATAGACAATCACGATACCGGTTCGACCCAGAAGCTGTGGCCGTTCCCGTCGGATAAAGTGATGCAGGGATATGCTTACATCCTTACTCATCCTGGGACTCCATCGATTGTAAGTTTTTTCTTTCTCGCCGTTTGTTTTGCTTTCGGGGCCATAATTGGTGGAAGTTGGTAACAGAGTATTGTTATTATCTTCGTTGCAGTTTTACGATCACTTCTTTGATTGGGGGTTGAAGGCGGAGATTGGTAGATTGGCAGCAATAAGGAACAGTTCTGGGATTACCTCAACAAGCAAAGTGAACATCTTGGCAGCTGATTCGGACCTTTATGTAGCAGGGATTGATGACAATGTGATGATGAAAATTGGGCCCAAAATGGATCTCGGGAATCTGGTTCCTTCGAGCTTCCAGGTGGCTACATCTGGAGAGAGCTATTGCGTGTGGGTCAAGAAATGAGTACCAAGTCTTGTGCTGCACATAAATAAGTGTCGATTGTCGTCAATGTTGAAGAAGACGCTAAGCGCTATCTAGGCGAGTAAGCACCGCCCAGTGCCCAGGCTGATTAGTCGTTGTCTAGGCGAGATTAAACGTTGAAAAAAATATATGATAGATAAGCTCATATTCTACAAAAACCCAAGTCACAATATCATTATTCATTGTAAAGATCGTTTCTGGGAATTTGGCGAGTTGGACAAAAATGGAGAAGAAGAGAATACAGGGGAAGGAGAGTTCTTGATTTATTGCTAGCTATTGGTAAAGTAGTTACACGAAGAATGATTGGGTAAAAGCTGACCAGTTACCATTTAGCTCTCTCTATTTATACATGGGTGTACTTTACACGTCACTCATGCCAGCCTGGCTAGGTTTGTTACAAATCCTCTCCCTTCAAACACACCTTGTCCTCAAGCTGTACATCAAACCAAAAAAGAAGGAAAACCTAAGCCGATTAGTCGTTGCCTCGGCGAGATCAAACGTTATTAAAAATATATGATAGATAAGCTATATTCTACAAAAACCCAAGTCACCATATCATTATTCATCCATTCATATACACATACAACCCATTTCCACAATCCCAAACACCCCAAGTCGCCAACCATGAGGAGGGATCTTGCTGCTGGTCGATGAGGGGGAGCGACTGGTCGAATGAAAATGGGAAATAGAATAGGGTTTGTGATTCCCACAAAAGGCTACACTTTCCCCCTTTATGAGTTGTTTTGGGCGTTGTCCACCAGAGTGAAAATGCACCTAGGCGCCGATTAGGCGTTTTCCATGGAGATTAATCGTTTAGCACACCTAGATCAATCGCGCAAGGCTAGACGGAACAATTTCTTCCTACCCAACTATTAATCGGGCCTAGGCGAGAGATTAATCACGTTAATTTGATTGTCGTACATCAATCTATATGATATAGTAGACCTTATTGGTAATGTGACGATCTAAATGTACAATATGCTATTGTATTCCTGTTAAGTTAGGTGATCCCCTGCATAATTTCTTCCACGACAGACATGATGACATCCCTTCATGGACATCCGATAAGATTGAAATGATAGAGAAACGATAGAGAGAGAGTATGATGCCAAAAATTTCTAAGTTTCCCTTTGATAAGCACAAGATTGTTGCATACAGATTCTAACCACAAATCAAAACCGAGAGATCTATCACAAAGCCTTTTCCATGCATACGGTACAGTTAGCTCTTAGCTCCTCTCGACCACAGAGAATCAAACCTTTACTCCTAAACCACCTTTCAAAGCACGGGAACTCCAGAAGAAATCCGAAGCTTCGAGTCTCTGCCGCCGCTGATAACACAGTCCTCTTTCCACCAATCAGCACAAAGGACCTTGTCTTCATGCGACTCAATAACAGAAACAGGCCACTGCACATTCACCCAAAAGCATATAATTATATATGTACCGTCGTTCAATCAGTTTTACTCATATGTGAAGGAACAAGTTGAACTCAAATTGCTCGAGAAGAGAGGTTAGGCTACCGCGGTTCTAAGATCCCACAGCATGACTTTCCCATCATAGGATGCAGAGAGTAAGTGGAACCAAGATTTGCTGTGCCATTGGCAAGCTGATATCCAAGAAGTGTGGGAAGAAAACTGGTACACAGGGGCAGATGTTCCTACAAAGAAATGACAAGGTGAAACGTCAAAAATCATTCTTTTTTTAGTAAAATCTGAAAGAAACAACATCTGAATAGAAACTATACCTGGCTTTCGTGGATCCCATATCCTAAGTATGGGAGTGGATCCACCAGCAGCCACAAGGGTTGAACCTTCACCTCCTACACTAAGGCAGTTGAAGGGTCTTCCACAGATCTGCAAGGAAGGACAGTCTTAGGCATGCTAGGACTTAAAGAAAGGAGAAAAGAAGCTGATATATGATGATACTACATTTGCCACATACAATGCTCGAAACATCTTTCCCTGTCTCAGCATCCCATCTTCTGATAGTATGATCCCACGATGCAGAATAAATTGTATCACGCTCTGGCCATACGAGCGAGGATACTTGTTGCGTGTGACCCACTAGTGTAGAGACAGGTGCACCCTGAAAGCAGTACATATAAATGGTCCGATTCAACAAATAGGCCAGTTTGTGGTCATAAAGCTCTACTGATATCTTGCAACCCACTTCTTCCAGTTAAAATAGCAATGTGAAATGACTACTGGAGATATTTTCCCGTATAAACCCAGTTAAAAGAACTATATGAAAAATGTCAACTTCATTGGTATGAAACAAAAAGAAAATGAAATTAATACCTCCAACTGAGGTTCTTCAGTTCCATTTTTAGTTTTTCTCTTCTTAACTGATACCGAGTCACCTTCTGCAGAGGATTCATCTGTCTGCCACAAGTTAACCCTACAATCCCAAGAACCTGAACAGATCTGTTTCGTACACAAATTAAAAGGAAATGGTAAGTGACATTATCACTTGTGTGGGTCATCATTTTATCAACAAGAAGAGAAAGGAAAACAAACCATGCTTCCAGATCCCTGAGCTGCAACACTCCCTACGGATGCATTATGACCACGCAAAATCTTGAATGGCCTAATCTTGGCAGGAGAATCCTCAACTCCTTCTGAATCCATCTTTATTTTGGGGGGTGGGGGAGGAATAATTAATTCATCAACCAGGACATGGGTTGCTGAAAGCAGCCAACTTTACAAAAGGGAGGAAGAAGTCAGTCCAGTTACCTTCCACAGTCTGAGAGTTCGATCTTTTGAGGCTGTAGCCAGGGTTACATCACCTGACCAGAAAATTACAACATGAATCAACTGTTCATATCCATAAGTACATACACAAGTAGGATAACCACACCTACTTCTAAAGAAATTACTATTAGACAATTCATATGCTAAGTAAATGGAAGATAGCTGATTAATTTGCTGCTCATTTGATTTGGGGATAGACAGTGGAAGTCTCTAATGCCTATTGCTTTCTAATGAATAGCTGTATACGGTAGTGATGGACTTAAGAATAACACCCCACAAGATAGGTCCTTAGCAACCTGGTGCTAATTGTAGATATAAAAGTATCAAACGCAAAAAGACAGCAACTTTGCTCTGAAATTGGAACAAAATTTGTGCTAGAAGACAGGCGATTTTGTAAACATAAAACGTTAGAGACAAAACAACTGGATCTCATCCAACAGTTTTCAGAAGTATAATAAAGTGGTTGCTCGATTATACCTAGTGGGTTAATGACACTGACAGAGGTAATTGCATCAGTGTGCCCTTCAAGTATATGGGTACACACTCCAGCACCTTTCCAGACCCTGAAGAATAAGAAACAAGTTTGCACCAGTCAGATTCCTTAGCAGCTACAAATGATTAACGAGGATGGTGCGAAAGAACAAAAATGTTACTCTACCTTCCAAAACCGTCGTAGCATCCGGTCAAGATGAACCTGCCAGCAAGCACAAACTAGAGCAGTTAATATCAATAACCAACTTGTTAATAGCAGAGACAATGCCTCAATGACCCTAAAATCCAAAGATGACTACAAACAACTAAAGAACCAAAAAGCGCAGTGGGTCTACCGAGAACATGAACCATCTACTGCACTGACCCAGTCGTCATGCAATGAGGGCTCCTCCTCTTTCCTAGGAACAACAGCCTTGATATATTCAATTTCCAATGTCTTCTCCTGTTATTATACACATAGGTCCCTAATTTCTAGTGAGTAACAAAAACAAAAGGAAATCAGTGATCTAGAACACAGAGAAAAAGAGAGTTCAAACTTACAGCAGAAATGCCCTTAGCAAGAAGGAATCGATCGAGTGACATACGAACAAGCTCTCCATCAATCAGGAAATCAAAGGGCTGAGTCTCCCATTCAGGATCACCTTGTTTGTCACAAAACCCAAAAAACCCCTCTTCGTCGGTAACGTAAAATTAATTCCAGGAGTCGAAACACGAGAGAAGGGTATGTAAAGTTACCAGCTTTGATGAGGCTGTTGACGATAGTGGAGAGGCCGAGACGTGTGACGGTAGCCGGGATGGTAATTGCAGACGGTGGAGCTTTGAATGGCGGGTTCAATTTGGTGACGAAACGAGCTTGAATCTGCCGCTCTTCCATGTCTACGTCCATCTTTCCGCCGGCGGGAGGAGAAGAGCGAGGGGCTTTCGGAGGTGAAGGGCTGCGGGCTGCGGCGGCAAAGGACGAATGGCGCGCAGGAGAGGAAGTGGGTTTAGGGCAGGGTTTACTACAACTCCAAACGACGACGTTTAAAGGTGCGGTTCTGCGCCGCGAGACGACTTATGGCACTCAACGCTGATGTTAGCCTCTCATTCTCCAGCTTGGATTGAACACAACGGCCAAACTCGCGCCAAAGGACCCGCAAAGTATGAAGAATGAACCTGGCCTCTTCCGTGGGGCGCTCTTTGAAGCACAACAATCTCTCGTTCTTCCATTTCCTATTGAAATCTCAACTCGAGAGTGGAAACCCAAGCTCGGGATTAGCTTCTTTCCGCCAACTGCTGCGATCTGAAGCGAAACCGAATGACCTGACTTTCTCATTGGTGATCAAATCAATTGCTTCTTCAGCTTCGTTTTCTTCCAATCCACTGGGCGCCAAGACAGGGGCCAATCAGATCCAAACCCATCTGGTAAAACTGGGTATCGATCGTTTTGTGTATTTGGGTACTGCTCTTCTCGATCTGTGCATGAAACTGGGGTGCATTGATCACGCACGGAAGCTGTTTGATTGTATGCCTGATAGGGATGCTGTGTCATGGAACGCTTTGATTTGCGGGTATTCGAGAAATGGGTTTGATTTCGCGGCGCTGGAAATGTTTGCTGAAATGCTTAGAGAGGGTTTTCATCCTAGCTCAACTACTTTGGTCGGTTTGGTTCCATCATGTGGCCGCCACGAGTTGCTGTTTCAAGGAAGATCCGTCCACGGGTTTGGAGTTAAGGCTGGCCTTGATCTGGAATCCCAAGTGCAAAACACAGTCACTTCAATGTATGCGAAATCTGGGGATTTGGCGTCAGCGAAGCTTCTGTTCGAAGAAATGGAAGAGAGAAGCGTTGTTTCTTGGAACACCATGATTGGTGCTTATGGCCACAATGGTTCCTTCAACGAAGCAATGATTGTCTTCACCAGAATGATAAAGCAAAGTGTAGAAGTCAATTCGGTTACCATCATAACTCTTCTCTCTGCAAATGCCAATCCACAAGTTATCCATTGTCATGCCTTCAAAACCAGGCTTCTAAAGGATCAATCAGTGATCACCTCGCTGATTTGTGCTTATGCTAAGCATGGCAGCACGAATTCAGCAGAGCTACTCTACAAATCCTCGCCACAGAAAAACTTGGTTTCTTTAACTGCAATCATTTCAAGCTATGCTGAAGCTGGAAATATGCACATGGTGATTGAGTGTTTCATTCGAATGCAACAGTTAGACATGAAACTGGACTCAGTCGCCATGATCAGCATCCTTAATGGAATCTCAGACTCGAACCTTGGTCATGCTTTCCATTGTTACGGACTAAAGAATGGCCTGTCCATCCATACTCTGGTTGCAAATGGGTTGATAACTATGTACTCAAAGCTTGATGATTTGGAAGCTGCATTCTCCTTATTTGCAGAATTGCAGGAAAAGCACTTAACCTCTTGGAACTCGGTTATATCAGGGTGCGTACAAGCTGGAAGGGGAAATGAAGCTTTGCAGTTCTTCGACCAAATGAAAGCATCCGGCCAAGATCCAGATTCCATCACTATAGCCTGCTTACTTACCGCGTGCTCCCAACTCGGATGCTTGAAACTTGGTAAAAAGTTCCACAACTATATTGTTAAAAACACATTCGAGGTCGAAGATTTTCTCGGGACAGCTCTCATCGACATGTACACCAAATGTGGAAGCATAGTGCAAGCAGAGAGAGTGTTCAGCACCCTTCGCCACCAACCTTGTCGTGCCATGTGGAACACTATGATCTCAGGCTACAGCTGGTACGGGTTTGAACATGAGGCTCTACATTGTTACTCCAAGATGCTAGAACAAGGATTAGAACCCGACCGAATAACATTCCTGGGAGTACTAGCTGCTTGCACCCATGGTGGGTTAGTTCATGAAGGGAAGAAGTACTTCCGAGTCATGACAGAACAATTCTGTATCGCACCCGATTTGCAACATTATGCTTGCATGGTTGGTCTCCTCGGTCGAGCTGGTTTGTTCGATGAAGCGTTGTTGTGTATCGAGGAGATGGATATTGAGCCTGACTCTGCAGTGTGGGGAGCGCTGCTGGCAGCTTGTTGCTTGCACCACAAGGTTAGGGTTGGAGAGTACTTGGCCAAGAAGATGTTCCTTCTTGATCAAGGAAACGGTGGGCTTTACGTTCTGATGTCGAATCTATACGCCGCCGTAGAGAGGTGGGATGACGTGGCGAGGGTGAGGGAACTGATGAGGGAAATGGGAGGTGATGGTTGTTCAGGGGTTAGCCAAATTGAGTAACCAATCGGGCCCTATTGGGCTTCTATGGGTTTAACTACGTTGGGCTTTTTGAGGCCCAGTTATCCTCCCCCGACCCCCAACAAAGAATGATATTGTGAATCTGAAACCCTACTACCCGTCTACCCCTAGTTTGAAAGTTTCAAAAGTCTTCAAATTTCGAAAAATGGCGCTTTGCTACATTCTTCGACTCTGAATCTTGCGGTTGAGCAGTGCAATTTGTCTTTCAAGCTTACCGTTGGCTCACCGCCGTTGACAACGAAACTAAGAGTACCAAAGAGAAATGGGAGCAGCTCATAGTCACGGGGATTTGGAGCTTTCGGACTCAGACTCGGAGTATCAAGAAGAGGGAGAAGAAGCGAGCTACAATGACGCAACCGAAGAGACGCCGGAGAAGTCTTCTTCAACTGACCGGAGGCCGAGAACTCCGTCGTCTGTCGACGACGTGGAGGCACGTCTGAGAGCTCTGAAGCTGAAATACCCAACGGCATCGAAGAATCAGAAGTCCAACTTGCAGAACGAAGTGAAGCTCTACGTCCACCACGGAGCGAACACCGCCAAGGCGAAATGGGTGTGTTCGGAGAAGCTCGCATCTTACTCGTTTCTGAAGACCTCGAAGGTTGGTGGGGTCCGTGGCGGAGAAGACGACGACGGAGAAGAGGAGTCGGAGTCGGAATCTGAAGGGGAAGGTTGGTGGGTCTTGAAGGTGAGCAGTAAAGTTAGGGTTAAAGTTGATGACGAGATGCAATTAAAGACATTCAAGGACCAGCGCCGCGTTGATTTCGTGGATCGTGGTGTTTGGGCGATGAAATTCTTTAGCGACGAGGATTACCAGGTGTTTCTCGGTAAGTATCGTGACTGCTTGTTCGAGAATACTTACGGGTATGAGGCGAACGAGGCGAATCAAGTCAAGGTATATGGCAAGGATTTCATCGGGTGGGCTAACCCGGAGAAGGCCGACGATTCCATGTGGGAAGATGCCGAAGACAGTTTCTCGAGAAGTCCTCAAACAGTTACTCCGGTGAGGAGAAATCAGGACTTGACACAAGAGTTTGAGGAGGTGGCAAATGATGGGATACAGAGCTTGGCATTGGGGGCACTGGATAACAGCTTTCTGGTGGGAGATTCAGGGATTCAGGTGGTTAAAAACTTCAGCCATGGGATTCAAGGGAAAGGTGTTTATGTTAATTTCGGCAGGGAGCAGCAAAGGGGTGGTGGTGGTTCTAGTCTGGCTCATTCGACACCTAAGAAGGCACTTCTCATGCGTGCTGAGACAAATATGCTGCTTATGAGCCCATCAAATGATGCAAAACCACATTCAAGAGGGCTGCATCAGCTTGATTTGGAGACCGGTAAGGTCGTTACGGAATGGAAGTTTGAGAAAGACGGGACTGATATTACCATGAGGGATATCGTGAATGATAGCAAAGGTGCTCAGTTGGATCCATCTGGATCAACATTTTTGGGATTGGATGATAATCGTCTTTGCAGGTGGGATATGCGAGACCGTCATGGAATTGTCCAGGATCTAGTTACTTCTAGTGCTCCTGTGCTTAATTGGGCTCAAGGCCATCAGTTCACTCGAGGAACTAACTTTCGGTGTTTTGCAAGCACTGGTGATGGGTCGATTGTTGTGGGGTCTCTTGATGGAAAGATTCGCTTGTACTCTAGCAGTTCTATGAGGCAAGCTAAAACAGCTTTCCCTGGTCTCGGTTCACCTATTACTCATGTTGATGTTACATATGATGGAAAGTGGATATTGGGTACAACCGATACTTATCTGATCCTGATCTGCACTCTTTTCACGGATAAGGATGGCAAGACAAAGACTGGCTTCAGTGGTCGTATGGGGAATAGGATTGCAGCACCTCGACTGTTGAAGCTGACTCCATTGGATGCACACTCAGCTGGGGCTACTAACAGATTTCGCAATGCTCAGTTTTCATGGGTATGCATACACGTTCTTTATTTGCAATTTGTAGCTACCTTAACTATGACTTTTGATGTTTTGTGTTCAATTCAAGCTTCGCTGTTAGTCTCTAGATTTGTTCATCTCTGTACATGTTTTACGTGTCTTTTGTTATGTCTGTGTTTGATATGTTCAGAAAAGAAATCTGTAATTGATATGCTGACTTTTTTTGTGATACCCAAATTATACATACCGCTTGGAGACGTATGCACTATGAAACATGACAGAATTTTAAGCCTCGTGGTTCTTTTGAAATACTTTTGCTCCACTGTGGCTTTGTTGAATCTAGGATTTGGTGAGGTACCAGTTCTTGGATGTTATCTGGTTGACTAGGAAGATGATGGGTAGTTTCAAGGACTTGAATGTGTTCTGTAATTAGGTGGATTTCTCACCTAATGAGGGCCGCTTCTCTGATCTCTATGTTGTCATCTGGTTTGTATACCATGAGAAGTTTATGTTTGCAGCATCGCCCCTTTACTATCCTTACAATTGTACTGACTACACTTTCCTCCGATTCCAACTGCCCGAACGTTCTACATTGGGATGTGCTGTTTGCAGATTCTAACAAGGGCAAAACGATAGTTTATTGCTTCTGATAGTTTTGGCTCTTCATCTGCTACTAACTCGTGTCATTTTCAGCTGTGATTTGTGCTGTGTATTGACTTACCACCTCCTCCCTACTAAAATTATGCAGGTCACTGAGAATGGCAAGCAGGAGCGGCACTTGGTAGCAACTGTTGGCAAGTTCAGTGTCGTTTGGAACTTCCAGCAAGTCAAAGATAGCAGCCACGAATGCTATCTGAATCAAGAAGGATTAAAAAGCTGCTACTGTTACAAGATAGTCCCGAAGAATGACTCCATCGTCGAAAGTCGTTTCATGCACGACAAGTTTGCGGTTTCTGACTCTCCAGAGGCTCCACTTGTGATTGCAACAAACCTGAAAGTCAGCTCCTTCAGTGTATCCAGCAGGAGGTGATTGACAGACAGACATGCTTCGCTTTCAGATGTATTATTGTGTTGAATTTGTATTCATGGTTGTTGCCGTGTGATGAAATTGTGCTGTATCTAGAATTCTACTCTCATGTCATGTTGTATTTATAGCTTCTACTTGAAGCTTAAACAGGCATTGGAGTTATGCATTTCCTCAACTCAAATCATTTGTTAAATTGTTGAGAATTGAAGATACTTTCCTTTGCTTCTAGGGATAAATGATTATGTAACCGCTAACCGGTTCAACTCATACTCTGCTCCTGCTGCAACTTCTCCTTAACGAGTATGAGGCCCATTTTTGTCATATTTCTATCCTGTAGAGTATAGACTGATGAGATGACTTTCGGTTCACACGGTTGAACCGGATGAACCAATTGTCATTTGGATTGTACTTCCATACGTGGCTGTAATTTGTGCATTCTGTATTTCTGTTGATAGACAGAGAGAAAGAGGTCGAACGAGAGAGAAGTAAAAGAGAGAAATGGCCATTGCAATGGGGAGAGCTTTGCTTCTCCATCCTTGCTCGGCTTCTTCTTCTTCCACCTTAAGCTTCACATCAAGGAACACCCACAATCCATACTCGAGCTTAGCTGCTGACACACTATGGTCGGCCGCAAAAACCGGGCCACGTCACCCACTGACCGTGGCTCAAGCTCAACCGCGACCCACCTGGCTCCCTGGGCTCGACCCTCCTCCATATCTCGATGGCAGGTGAGGCATTAAAACTAGCCCTTTATCACTTCTGTGTTGCAAGTTTTGAACAATGGCTTCAATTCAATTGCGGCCGTGTGTAGCTTGCCAGGAGACTATGGGTTCGACCCGCTTGGGCTCGGAGAGGACCCGGACAGCTTGAAGTGGTATGTCCAGGCAGAGCTCGTCCACGCCAGGTTCTCCATGCTTGGAGTTGCTGGAATCCTCTTCACTGACGTGAGTTCCCTCGATGTTACAGAGACCGTTTCACTTTGTCATCCAGTTTCGTCGAATGATTGTTGACGTCGTTGTGTTGTGGTTGTTGTTTCAGTTGCTGAGGGTTACGGGAATCAAGAACTTGCCAGTCTGGTACGAGGCAGGCGCCGTGAAGTTCGATTTTGCAAGCACCAGAACTCTGCTCTTTGTCCAGCTTCTGTGGATGGGGTAATGTTGTTGCAAAAAAACGTTGCTATTTCTTTCACCTTTCATGTTCTTTGCTTTGGAATCCCCAATTGGGTTTGTTAGATTGGATTGTGAAATCGACAATGACAAAAAGCATAGAACACACAGAAAACAGTAAAACGAATGTGTAATCCCGGTGACTGCCACTCTAATCGATTGCAGATAATCCGTATTCAAATCATAGCAGTAGGATTTTGTTATTTACAAGTTCAATCCAATCACCGGTAAGGTAAGAGAGGTTGTTATAGAAGGTTGGGGTAGGGATCTCACTTACACCATAACTCAACTGAAAGTCAAGAAAATTAGCATGAATCGCTCGAGTAGTTGGAACTTGGAAGAGCATCAATTATGGATGTTATACCGTTTTCTTACGTGTTTTGCAGGTATGCTGAGACAAGGAGGTACATGGACTTCGTTAGCCCAGGATCTCAAGCCAAGGAAGGTTCCTTCTTCGGGTTGGAAGCTGCACTGGAAGGACTGGAGCCAGGGTAGATAAACACTTCGACACTGCAAGCTCTTAACGATCTCCATTTTTAGCAAGTAAAGCAAACACATGAACCAATCTGTTTCCTCTGTTCTCGTGGCTGTTGGGTTGATTGACTCAGGTATCCAGGAGGTCCTTTGCTGAACCCGCTCGGGCTGGCGAAGGACGTGAAGAGTGCTGGTGCATGGAAGCAGAAGGAGATTAAGAACGGGCGGCTGGCAATGGTGGCGATGCTGGGATTCTTCGTGCAGGCAGCTGTGACTCATAAGGGTCCGATCGATAACCTTGTGGAGCACCTCTCGAATCCGTTTCACAATACCATCATTCACACCCTGTCTAACTGAAGAGATTGCAGCAGTTCTCTTCTTCTTGCTGCTTCGTCTTGAGATATGGAGCAAAGACTCGTCATTTTTTTTTTCAGGGGATGTAACTTGTTCAATTTGTGCCTCAGCTACTTGAGGCTTCCATTTGTTGCAAAAAGAAAAGTAAAAATGTATAAAAAATTCCGACCTACCGGATTCGAACCAGTGACCTAAGGATTTCAGCATTTTACTACAGTCCTCCGCTCTACCAACTGAGCTAAGGTCGAATTGATGGTATGTTGTTTAAAAGTTTTTTAATTATAAATAGAAAGGTATCCAACTGGCCTAATACATGACAATCGCTGTCCAGATGGCACTACCACTCTCCTAAAGTCCTAACTCCCAAGTAATCCTGTGCTAGTTCAACAAACGCATTTGGCATTAGTTTGCCCTAAAACGGAGTCGTAGTACTCAATCCCTCTTTAATTTATGAACAAATGGCGATCTTCTATAATCGCCACAAAGGAATCGAAATTATCAAAAGGATTTGGTTTAACTTTATCAAATTAATGGACAACATAGCTTGCTTTTTTGTATTGTTAAAATAAAAATAAAAATAAGTTAAGTTTCTAGAGAAGCTAAAACATAAATTGAGAATCTGAGGTGAACTGCGGATAGAGAATTTAAGGTTTTGTTTAGTATCATCTTTCATTTCCATTTTTTTGTTTACACGTGAAAATCGAGAATGAAAACATGTTTACTTTTGCTTTTGTCCGTTGCTGGAGGTACTAGTAGGGTGAAAAGAAAATGTAATTTCTAATTCTCATTACCTGCCTCTGATTAAACCTTAAAAGTCTATGCCCTAGAGAAACTTCAGGGTACTTGGTTCATCATATGGATACCAAGAGAAGAGAGCAGCAAAGATTATGATGATGGACAGTTGTATAACCAAATCAAAATGTCCTGATCATGTATCCTCAATAGAGAGCATGAATCCTACATGTTATTGCTATTATTATCCCTGGGTAGCCAGTCATTCAAGAGTTCAATTTAGTTGGCATTTCCTAACAAGGATTTTTCACCTTTTTCTTTGCACTAAATATCTCAAAGTTGGTAGAGAGCCATGTACTCCCCAATCACAACACACGAACACAAGGTGACTCAAATACAACAACTAAACCTAACACATGGACATAACCATTATAGTTGATGCTTAACTGAAGACCGATCAAGGCAAAAAAAGACGAGCATGTGTGTATTAGGTAACAACGATCACAAAGCACCAGAAATGTCTAATCTTCAGAGTCAAAACTCTTCCAAGGGATTCCATGCTTTCATACCATTATATTCGGAGGCACGCCTCTCAGATGACTTGGAAACCTTCGCCAGCTCCTTGTCTATGTCTTCCTACATTGCACAAGGTGCAAATTATTGGATTTGTTAACTACTAGCTTGACCATTGCTAGATTATGCGTAGTGAACAAACAACTCATTCAAGGATATTAGGAGGTCGGAGTACCTTTTGGAAATATATGGGGCAGAACCACCTGTTTTTTCTTCTTTACTACCTAAAGGTCTGACTGAATAAGAGGGGTCATGGAAAAGCATTGATCAGGTATTATTTAGGTCACAGTAAATCTCATGGAAGAGACGGACTATGTAAGTACTAAATTCCCGCTCTCTTTACTTGAGCAGGAAACCAAACAGAACATCATTCGGTAAATTAAGTGGCAATACTTCCATAACTGGTGATCTACAACAACAACAACAACAAAGACACTTGACATCATATCGGTTGACCTGCAACTAAGAGGGAAAGCTAAGTAGTGAGGCAAGCAACATACCTGGAAAACCGGAACTCTATCAAAGCCACTCCTCATGTCAGAAGCTTTCAGCTGGTAAACATAAGATTGATCTTCATCATTAGTGACTCAGATGATACAGAGGCATGAATATAACTTTCTTAAAAGTTATCGATATGTCCACAACTCACAAAGCAAGGAAAATGTGTAATAAGCACTAATAGGATAAAATGAACAAGGGCATATTGCTTCTCAACTCAAGAGATACTCGAGTAGAAACAAACTTAATTCTACTCCTCAGTAGATGCTGATTCAGCAAGATGGCGTTATAGAGTTGGGGAATATAAGAGCATGGTAAGAGAACACTCAAATCACAATGATCAAATGAGGAAATTGCATGGACAACTAAGCGCAGAATCATTGACATAGAGAAAGTTGTTTTTGACTTCATTGATGCATACTTTCACACCTAAGAAATACTTCCACCGCAACTGCGAAATCTACAAAAACCAACCTCCAATGCGTTCTTTATTTGGACGGGATCTTGCAAAAATCTGAATGCAATGCCTTCGACCTTCAGCATGTAGACCTACATAATGTACAATCAGAAGCTTAAACGACCGACTTCCAAGGCAGTGAATCATTTTCCTCATATTCAAAGCTTAACAACATTTCCAAATTCATAATGTCAAGTCCAGACATATGCAGCAAACATGGCTCATTACCTGTTCAGGAGTAATAGGCACCACTTTCGCCCCACTCTGCAGTTCCTTTCTCCGCAATCGCACCTTCAAATTGGAATAGCAGAAGGTATAATTAAGTCACTTTAAAGCACGAAATCATACGATACTAAGCACAACACAATGCGGAATTCTAACCTGAGACATGAATGCTTCGGCGTCTTCTTGGCGGAAGCAGAGCAATCCGATGGACTTAGCTCCATCAGGATCCGAAATGAGGACGAACTCGTTGTTTGTGTTGCTCACAGTGTTCACAGTTGTGAGTCTCTTCGCCACGTAATCGGTGCTGAGAGCCGGCGGTGGTTGCTGCTGGTTCGCCTGAGAAACTGGGGCGAACAGCAAAGGCGGTGGGTTGAGCCTCCTGGCAGTTGTCGCCGGCGGGGGAAATGAAGTGTATAGGGCTCGCGTGGTGTCGCCCAGCTTTGTGGCGAGCTCGTTCCCTAAGCGGAGGCATTGCTGGTGGAGGAAAGAAGAGAAGGATAAGAGAGGTAGGGATGGCAAAAATATATGTAACCGTGGATATCCGCCCGAATTCGGCCTAATCGGCTAGGGTAAAACTCGAACTCGAAGGACATTTAGTGGGTACGGGTAAAATTCGAACCCGAATATTGCGGGTAATGGGTGAGCATGAGTTTTTCACTATCCAACCCGAACCCGCCCGATTATACACATGCTTATGTATTTTGTCTAGAAATAATCATTATTTTTCTCTAACATTTTTATATTTAGCATATAAATATAATATTTTCATGAAATTGTGTAGTTTTAATTAATTTTCTTCATTCTAGTGAATAATTGTCGTACTTTTCCTCTTACGTAATGTGAGAATACGTGTGAATGTTAACATATTTGTTGGAGTTATCAAGAGAAATTATTACACATGGATAACCGTGGATACCCGAAACCCGAACGGGCAGTGGCGGATACATGCATGGTTAGGGGTGTCCCGGGACACCCCTAAAATTTGGAAACACGATTATTCAACCTACGATAGTAATTTGCGTTTGAGAAAAAAAATGTTTAAGTGGTAGTGGGACACCTTTAAAATTTGGAAAAATGATTATCCAATCTCCCGTAGTAGTTTGAGTATTGGTATAAATAATATTTAAGCAGTAGTTTATGTGATTTAAATTTGGGATACTGCCACTATTAGTTAATATATTTTCAATTACGCTACAACTCATTTGTTATTGTGTTTTAGATCCAAATATAATAGTAAAATATTATTCTTATCTCAAATTATTTTCAAAACCTAACGATTAAACTCAATTACGGGATATCCTAGTCTAGTAAGATATGTCGAGAGATATTTGTTGAGCAGTATAAACACCGAATGCATTTTATCATTTGATGAAACACGTCTGAACTTTTAATGAAACTTTATTAGTTAGATATTTTCATATTTAATAATTATTTAATTTAATTCTAATATTTAATATAATTTTTTATAGAGGACACCCCTATGTAGAATTCCTGGATCCGCCACTGCGAACGGGTATGGGCATGGTTATGATTTTCTACCCGTTTCACATATGGGTATAGGTATGGGTAAAACCCGAACTACTATGGGTAGGGTAACGGATATGAACTATCCGCGCCCGACCCGACCCATTGCCATCCCTAAAGAGAGGGTTTGGAGGTTTAAACGGCTCCATAGGAAGAGAATTGAGAAAGCTGGAAGAAATTGGAAGGAGCAGAGAAGAGGCAGAAAAATGGGGGGTTCGTTTCGCCGGAGAATTCGAGAAATTTTTTATTCTTTCACGCGCGTCAGTGGGGAAGTGGAATTCACGGTACGATTAATATTAGGGACATTAATACTGTGAATCTGTGATTAATTAGCAGCCTGAGGTCGAGGTATTTTTTTTCAAAACACTGAACTTCTTAAAAAAATTCACTATACGTAACATGTAAGGTACTGTAATTTTTCAAAATACACAAATTTGAGTTTATCGCCATAGCAATGACTAAATTGCAACCCAAAAATTTTACTTCGTTGACTTGGAGACAATATATGTATGACTGTGACATAGATTGTTGTCTATATGGTATGTAAACCAATAAAAGTGATTTATGTCGATAGAGAACTAATAGAAAAAACACAGTGAATTTGGCTATACCTAATAGAGTATGATGTATTTCGAATTAAAGTACTAGCTATGTTACAATAAATTTGTAAATTGTTTAACACTTTAAATTGTGACATCAAATCTTCTCCGGTGTAGACTTTTGGGAATTAGTATAAATAGGATGTTGTAATATGGATTTAAATACGAATTTTTTCATATCGAGGAATCTTAGGTAGGATAATAGGCTGAATGCGTGGAATGTATAGTCGAGCGAGAGGAAAAATTTCGTCTCGAGTAAATTCAACACTCAAATCCTTTACCAGAAATAGCTACAATGAATTGTTATGTAGTAAATATTCTTTGTCTTATTACTAATAGCATTTTAACTAGAGCCAAATTGAAACGACCTTATAAAATTTGGGGGGAACAAAACCTTACGTATTCTCATATCACTGTGGATCACAAAGGATCAATTATGACAGTTAGATTCAAAATATGATTAGTCTAATATTTATATGATACTTCAGATAGTAGACTAAAAAATATGGTATTCAACGAAACTTATTGAGTATACTAGGTTAGTGAAAGCCAGATTGACGATGTTGAGGAAGGCAGCTAACTAGGTTTCAATATGGTGTCACATGATGCACTGTTTGCATTACAAAACATGTTGAGAATACTTTAGTTTGTGTTGTGTGAATGAATATTTTGATTTTGATTTTTTTTTTGTGGCATTTTATTTTGAAAAGCACATCCAAAGTATAATAAAATTAGTCTTGTTAGATTAAAATATTAAATTGAGCCGAATTCACAAATTTGATTAAAATTTTGTATCCAAGGGGGAAATAGCCGTATGCACCAAACTAAATGGCCCAGTTCAGTCCATATAATGGATACTAGCTTTTACCCGACCCGTTGGTCGGATCAATTTCATTCTATTTCGTATAATTTATTTTATCAATATTTATGATTTACTTGATTTGGGATCTTTAATTTTGTATGATTCACGAAAAATATTTGTGGGTTTAAGAGTTGACAATGACGTAAAAGGATAGTCCAAGCTATTATATTGACCAAAATCTCAAATATTTGAAGTATTTATTTGAAATTTTATTAAATAAAACACTTGTTGATTCAAATATACAATCGTTTGTCGTGAAAATGGGATTTTATGAAAAAAGATTCATGACTTCATAAAGAAAGAAAACCAATTTGATATTCAATAACAAATGTGAACATCGTTTGGATCATATATTTCAGTTATGTATTTGGTATCTAAATTCAATACATGCGAGATTTGTCTAACTCCTAAATTTGGAAGTAGGTGCTAAAACTCTAATCAAATCAAAGGTCAAGAATGAAAAGTTTTGCTATCGAATTTGAAATTTGTTTGTCCCCATTAATTTGGAATAAGTGACATCCATAAATTAGATTTGTAAATCGAGCATTCAAAGAGACAGATGGGAAAGACATAAAAGTAAAGAAAACAGTAAAACCATCCAAACAATAAACCTGGGAAGAATTATCATGGTGCCAGATTAGCCAACATACAATACATTATTAGTAGTTGATTAAAAACATGTCATCTTCAAGATTCTCTGGCAATCTCATGGTTTATTGATTAAAACGCGATTCCCAATATGAGAAATCTGTATGTGATCTGGTCACAATTATCTTTTCGCCTATGTTGGTCCTTGCAATTAACAACCCATAACAAAATGAGCTAGCATGTGGCATAGTTATAAGGTATATGCACAAAAGTGAGTTATTAAATGTCCAACGGATCAGGAAGTAAACATTAATAACCCACTTAGCAATCATCCATATTAGCACAGAACATAGTCATCGAAGTAGCTATTGTTTTAAGAATATGTTATCACCAACATAAATAATGCTGTGTGAGAATGAGGATGCATGGTAAGCTATTTTCGTACTATTATCTGATGTTGCATTGAAAACAAATTGTCTTGTCCCCATCCATCTTGTAATGAAATCCTAGCCCGAGTCATCTACTAAAACAACGGCTTTCACCATCAACAACAACTACATGAAGAAAAGAAAGGGGGCTTCAAGTAATTAGTATATGCTAGCATTAGGAATGTTTAAACTTTCACTAATTGTTCTTGCTTCTAATTTTAAAAAATATAGCAGTGTTACCAAAGAATGCATTAGCAAAATATGACGGGGAACTAATCAAGAGCACACACAACAATTCATGATCTCAAAACGACAACTTAACCAAGAACCCCACCCACCGAAGACGAATTGCAAAATATTTTAACACATACATATATGCAAAGTGATTATCCTCTAATTGGTTCATTTTATAGTTATTATTTCCTTCCCTTCATTTATGTCATTATCTAGATGATTTCATATTTTCATTATTTGGGTACTTTTTAATTCTCAAATAATGATTCAATTCAAAGAGCACTTTATCTAATGCACTACATTTATAGCCTTAGCACCCTTTACTTATTGGGAACTCCGTTTAGATAATATCACACAATAAGTACTTGCTATCAAAACTATGCATGTGTCTTAATAAACCCCTCGATGCAACCCCTTAACTTACTTGATTAAAGAAGCAACAAATGACGGTCGTATTTCTTAATCCCAGAAGACATTGTTGATTCTTGCAATAGAGGCAAAAGGTGGGATTATACAATCAGTTGATAGAAGAAGATGATTTGGAAACTATAGTCTGCCATCAAAGACAAATTATCAAGCATTTCAGTGTTCTTTTTCTTAACTTTTTTGGGATCAACATTTTAGAAATACTAAATGTGTTGTGTAAGAACTTACAGAAGAAGCAGCAGCTGAAAAGAACATAGGCTAGAATCACACAAAAACCTTAGGTTAAGGCATCTATGAACATTGACTCAATCAATAATGCTCAGTATCTCAAAATCATTAACCCCAATTGGAAGCTCGCTACTGATTCCTTCAGGTCAACTCGAATCAAAACAGTCTTAGCCTAATGGAATGGATTAGAGCACACTACCATAAAAACAAAATATCTAAGAATTAACTATTCGATGCTGATAAGATTCTAACTACAAAAAAAAAACAGTGAACTTAATATCAAATGAATAACCAATAAGTGATACCGACTTTTCTTTGTGCAGAGATATCCAAATCCCTTTCACTCGGTATGCAATTACTCTTTTTATGTTCTTTGTCTATATGAGTAACCAATCTTCCTGTCTTATTGCTTTAAGCAATTTTTCTGCAACCAAATTGGTCAGATAATTGGTCATATACAGAGAAACATCATCTCCTTCCCATAATAACATCTATAGATTATAGTTTAACATATATAGGCAAAATCCAATCTTTACTTTAAAAAACAATAGATGCAGCAGCAATTCGATATCATCAAGATAGCTAATATGATTTAGGATGATTTTCATGAGCTTGGGTCAATCAAGGATCAAAGCATGACCACAACAAAGTAAGGAATTGAAAAGTTTGCTATCTGATTATATCGTCATATGAAAAAGCAGGTCCCGGACACTAACAAATTCAAAAGGGCACATCCAAGAGTACAAAGTTAATAGATTGCCACTTGCTAAATCCAAACATTCATTGCAAGTCAATTTCATGCAAGTTTTACATCACAGCTTAAAAAGTACAGTGTCGAAGAAGATAAAACAAACGGATTAAATATATGACCCAACTGTATTAATTAAGATCTCAAGTGCAATACATGTATTTTTTACATAGACGTTCTATATAAATCCTACTGCAAGTATTTGTCTTCGCTTGATTCTACCCTACTACAAAATTCTGAATAAAAGTGCAGAACACAAAACATCTTACTGAAGCACATCTATCTAAAGGAAAAACTGGTAAAATGAAGAGACACAATTCCTATGCCGTAGAACCTGCCATGATATGTAAGATGATAAGTGGAGGTTTGAAGCGACAACAAACAGAGAAGCAGCAAAGGTAGTAATCAGAATACTACCTTTGGTTACGAAATCCATGGGCATTGGCTAAACCAAACACCCTCGTGCATCTCAAATTCATGAACATATACTTTTTCTCTATACTTCAGTTCGTAGGAAACACCTATAGCAACAAATGGAACCTATAAAATGGAAAATTATAAAATCAGAATCGTGAATGGGTAGGAACGAATACATGGGGAAAATCACCTAATTGATTTTAGATGAGTATCCATGTACTGGTTGGAACTGACAATTATCCTATGAGTATCCAAAATCAAATTAAAATACCAACCATACCTGAAAACAATACCAATATAACAAATAAAAAATTAAACTTTTAGATGAATATGAAAGGTAATCACAAGTTACAGTCCCTAGGCAACACAAACCTGGATTCATTCTAATTTTAGAAACCAAACACGATTTGTGATTGACCGTGTAACATGATATAACACAACATCAGCTATAAAAATGAGAGATTCAAGGGAGAAAAAAGTACCAAGAGAAAGCTTGTTCATAAAGAGCACAAATCTCATCATCATGAGAATCGCCAATCGTGTTTGATTATATCATTTTTGTTGGTCCTTTTTGTTGCATATATGCTCTTCCTCTTGAAAGGAAAAAAGGGATCAATGAATCATAATCATCGGGCGTAGAAGACATACACACATAAAAGAACTGGAAACAAATATATAAACCGTTGAAAATTGGAGCACTCATCATTATGTTCTGCAGAAGGCATGTCTTGTTTATGGTCGCTTTATTTTGACAGAACTGATGACGATGTAATCTTCCCTTCCGGATGCACTCTTCCCTGAACACCAATACAAACAATTAGCATAGCACATGACTTTAGTTCGTAGCGCACCTTGTTGATTAAGAAGGTGACTACTCTTACATGTTAGTTGTCGTTTCTGAAATGACCACATCAATGTACCCAGCCACTGCATAAGAACTCGGAAAATAAGGCCTTTTCTATGTGATCATGCATATCGCGAAGGTAAACATAATAGCAACGTAAGAACTCAATAATCCAAAAGCTATTTGAGGTACAAACCGCGAGGTCTGGAAGATATAAAATGGAGCCAAACACATCCAAACCACCATTGATGGCAAGCACTTGATTAATAAGTTGAACTCGGCAAGTGAAAGCTTCCCAATGTGCTATTTGGAAGGTAAATACCCAAAACTGGCATAAGCTCATTAACATGCGAATAAATCACAAGAAATTAAACAAAACAAAAAACAGAAGCAAAAAGAGAAGGTCACCACCATGTCGATTTCATTATTCCTTCACAATCGTAATAGAGTTCTTCACCTTTTCGATTTTGTGCGTCTTCTTATTCCTCCTTCCACTGCCGTTCTCTTTGCCTTCTATGTCTTTGTAAACTGCGACCAGGGGATTTGACCAGGGAAAATTAATTCTCTGCTGTTGCTTCTTCTTCTTCTTCTTCTTCTTCCTCTTAGCCTTTTTTGTATTCATGAAAGTCCTCATATGTTGACCAAACTAAGACTTATCACAAACACCCAATCAAACTGAAAGGAAGTCGCCAAACTTGAACTACCTGGCTTTGCCTTCTTTCTACTCCGCTAACTTAATCATCCTTATTCTTTCCTCTGCAAACCCAACGCTCATTTTCCACTTTCTCCTGCCATCATCGAGTTCCCGTCGTCGTTCCTTCAATCTGAAAGAACAGGCAAAAATGATGAACCAAATCCAAGTAGTATAGTAAGGGAAAATCATAACGTAGACCCAAAAATCAACACACTAAATAAGAAGTCAGAAAGTGAATATTAACGAAAGAGAGTCAGAAACCCACCGCCGCCGCTAACCCATCCCTCGCCTTTTCTCCTTATGCGAATACAAAGCTCGTTTTCTTCTTGTATAGTTCACTCTCAGTAATCATAATTTAGTTCCGTCGTCGTCTCTTCGATAAGAAAATAATTGGAGAAGATGATGAACCAAATCTATCAAGTACGACGGGCTAAACCCAAATTTAGAACTAAATATCCGGAACAGAAAGGAGACTGAAATGGAATATCAATGAAAGAGGGCGAGAAACCTACCAGTTGCAGCTGGGATCTAAACCAGAGCTCAATCATATGCCTTCTTTGGAACTCGGCTCCCCTGGTTTCCCCTGTTTTCCTTGGCTTCGAGGGGCTTGTAGTCGCCGAATTCGCCGAAGACGTGGTCTCCTTCTAAGCTGCGATAAGGACACAGGAGGTACAGGAAGGGTTGGCCTATCAATTTAGCTGGGTACACATGGAAACTCAATCAGATACAACTAAAGATAAGCGAAGTAAATGATGGAAACAGTAATAGGTAATATGCAGATCAGAATACCAAATCCAATTGCGAATAGAGGAATTGCGGGCTTCCCCAAAACGCATATATATCAGACTAACAAATCTGACAGCGCGAAGCAACCGGGCAAAACAAACAGAAAAAATTACTGACTCCCCTTCAAATCGTCGGTTGGCTGGCAAGGGTTCAACGCAGAACTACCTAATCCGGATTGAGAGAAGCAGCAGGAGCAAACTAACCGAAACAATCTCGCCTCCCCTTCAAATCGGCGGTTGGCTGGAGAATCATTCACCGCATAACTACCAAATCCGATTGTTCGAATCAGCGGGGGTAAACAAATACCACAAATCATGACTCACCTTCGATTCGCCGGTTGGCTGGGGAATTCACCGTCAATTAGCCGCAGGTCTTCCTCGCTCAATCAGGTGTTCGCCGCTCGTTCCAAACTGCAGAATCTCGGCACGGTAAACTCCACATCAGCGGGCCGTCAATGCCTTCCTCCGCTGAGCAGCAAGCGTCAGTCCCTGTTCCCAAAATTGTCCGCTGAGAAATGGATATCCTGCCGTGCTGCGGGAAGGAGAAAGCAAAACGTAGATAACCCCGAAGAAAATGGAAGATGATTTCAGCCGCAAAAAAAGTAGTGGGAACCGACGGTTTCTTATCTCTCCTGTCAGGCGGGGATTTTTAATTTAATCCCGCGTAACCACCCTGCCACGTCAGACTCCTAAAATCACTCTATGCGCAGGAAAATTTGAATGGGGGTTACAGTTTTACTTTTCAGCTATAAATACTCTTGATTTCGGATGGCCCATTGGGTTCAAAATAAAATACTTACATCTCCGGCCAGCACACAGTAACTCTGATCCTAAAAGAGAGCGAAACAAGGGCAGCCGCAGCCGGAAAGCGAACGCGATTGGGGAAGAAGAAGAGAAGAATCGAGAGAAGTGGTCGCCGGCCATGCCTACCGGCTTTGTGTTCTACACCGGTATGTATTCTGATTAAGAAGATAGATTTTGTACGAATCAACTTTGCCCTTTTGTCGGAATTGGTGAATTGTTCGCATAGTATCTAGGGTTCATTCTGATCGTGTAGTTCGCTCGCTCTCTTATCTCTCTCAGGATCGGGATCCATTACGTTTGATTCTGAGTACGGATTGTCCTGGAACCCCAGCCCTCCTAAACCAGCAAGGCGTTGCGGTAATCAAAGTCGATTCCTTTATCTCTTTCCTGTCTAGCTGAAGACACAAGTCCCTCTCTTTCTCTCTCTGTTCTACAACAATGTTACTTTTCTTGGTTTGTGGTGGTAGGTCTCGTAGCTTCTGAAGAAAATTTCATGAATTATCTTACTGAATATGGAGTTGATAACATCAAAAGTGTTAAGCTGGTCGAGCCTAAATTCCCCAAGAACTCTGCTGCAACGAGATGCAATAATTTGCTAAGGAAATTTGCAGAGGTATGTTTAATGTTATTGTGCAAGTTTTGGATTCTCTATCTTATATATATGGCAGTCAATATGTGCCCTGCTAACTGCATTCCGTCAACCTGTCTGTCTGTATATGCAGCGTATGTCTGAGTCTGAAAATGCTGAATACTACCGCAAGGCTCTGCTCAAGTATTGTGGAGTTGATATTGACTACTAGTTGGTTTATAATTAGGATTCAGAATGATGTATTTATGTATGGTTGTGTCCCTGTTGCTACTATTTGGCTTGTGAATGAGTTTGGTGCAATATTATCATCCACTACCTACCTACCTCTGCCTATGTTAATGATGATGGTAAGTAGAGGTGGCAATTTCAATCCAATCCACCAATCCAATCCATCAATCCATTAAAAATATCCACCTAATCCAATCCATTTAAATCCAATCCATTTGATCCAAATTCAATTGGATTGGTGGATTCATGGATTGGATCCATGGATCATTGGCAAATTACGGTTTAGTACCTATAATTTTTATTTTTTACATTTTGGTACCTAAAATTTAATTTTTTATACGAAAATATCATTGGAAAATTACGTTTTGGTACCTAAAATTTTTCATTGTGACATTTTAGTACCTAAACTTTTTACATTTTACATATTGGTCCTTGGTTGAGGATGTCATATGGATTCATGGATAATCCACCAATCCACTTGATCCAATCCACTTGATCCAATCCATGAAACCACCAATCCATTAAATCCAATCCATTTGATCCATGGATCCACCAATCCAATCCACCAATCCACCAATCCAATCCATTTGCCACCTCTAATGGTAAGTATGTTCTACACCAATCGAAATCTCTCCCCTGTTTTTCACCTTCATGTTCTTGCTCCTTCTGAATTGAAGGAGTTCTGTTGGCTCCTCTTTTATCCTGGACTCGGCCATAGGAAAAAGGCTTGTTTTCTTTTGACAAAGGCCGGTGTACGTAACCTACCGCTGCCCGTCATGTCTGGGAGAAAGATATTCATATACATACCAGGTTTCGTGTTAACCTCACCAAAATGATGAGAGAGAGAGAGAGCAAAGAATTTAGGCCATGTTTGGAGGATGTGATTGTCCAAATTGATGTATTGGTTCAATTACTGTATTATGATTTGAGGTATTGATTGAATGTATGTATTAGACAAATTCCTTGTTTGGATGTGTTAAAGATTGTGTATTGGTTGTAAAAAGAAATTACACTTTTTGAGACCAATGACATTAATGCCCTCCCCTTTTTGGATTGAACATGGCGTTCAGGTAAAGCTATATGGTTTGTGTTGGGCCACTGGGCCCTGAAAGTCTCGAACAGTCTTCTGATTCAGCCCACTTCAACAAGCCCAAGACAACTCTCGGCCATCTTCGAAACTGACGAAAGCGTCTTCGCTTTCATTCCTTCCTCATCCATCGAAACAACTAAGACAAGAAAATTCCCAGTCGAGCAAAGCATCGGAATCCTTCCCCTTCAATAGCAACGGTCATGGCAATTAAAGAAGAGAGAGAGGAGCCAAGGCTTGGAGGTCTACTTAAAGGCAACTCAGGGAAGGAATTTGGTAACGGTTTCCTTTCTCAGTCAGAGCGGAGTAGCTCTTTGGGAGTAAAGGTTAGGGTTCGGATTGTAAGTGTCTGAATAGCTTGAGTTGAGACTGCTTAGTCAGGAACTCAAGCCTATTCGGGCATAGCGCCTTTCTGTTTCTTCGCTTCTCCTTTTGTTTCTCTTGATTCATTGATTGAATTGAACTTAAATCAAAGTAATTACAATCTGAACTAGATTTCTGCAGAAGACTGTCTGCGGATTTCTTCCTTTGAACCAATTATTTGATCATTCATCTTATGCCTGTCTAAATGGGATGAACTAGTCGACATTGGTATTTAACAATTGGTATCAGAGCCCCCTTCTCGTAGAACCTTCGTTGCCGAGTAGGAGATCCTCTGGTTTACCATGTCGTCTAATTCTTTCCCTACTAGTTCGAATCCTCCTTGGTTTTCTGGGTCAAATTATTCTGTATGGAAGAAAAGAATGAGACTGTACCTCCGAGGAATCGATTGCGAGTTATGGGCAATTGTCCGAAATGGACCAATTGACATGAAAGAAGACGATGAGGAGGAATGGTCTGATGAACAAAAAAGGAGTGCTCAATTAGACTCTAGGGCAATGCACATTCTATTATCTGCTATATCAGATGATGAAGGTGAACGTGTCAATAAATGTGAAACTGCCAAAGAAATTTGGAGTATCCTAGAAACCACTCATGAAGGAACCTCAGAAGTAAAAGAAACTAGGATTGACTTGTTAATAAAGGAATACGAAACATTTGACATGTTGACAGGAGAATCCATATCAGAAATGGATAAGAGATTCTCCACTCTAGTTAATAGACTCAAAGGGTTGGGAAAAACATTTTCTAGCAAAGAACTAGTAAGAAAAGTACTTAGATCCCTTCCTCTCGAGTGGATGGCCAAAAGAACTGCCATAGAGGAAGCTAAAGATCTAAACACCCTGTCCCTTGAAAACCTGATTGGATCTCTTCTAAGTCATGAGGAGGTTCTAAAACAAATGAACTCTCTCCATGACAGAAAGAACAAATCCATTGCCTTCAATTCAATTTGTGCAAATGAAGGAGAAAAGTTGGATGAGGAGTTCGAAAATGAACTTGCCCTCACCAGCAAGAAACTCCAAAGAATGATGAAATACAAAAACAGTCAAAATGCAAAAAGAGGGAATCAATTCAATGGTTACTCTCCCAGAAATACTGGAAGCATGTTTAACCAGGCCCCCAGAACCTCTAGTCATCAATCTGGAAGTTCAAATGACAAAAACTCATTTGGGACTAACAGATTTGATGCTGGTTCCAAAGAAGTAAAGAATAACACTGAAAACAAGTCTGATTCAACAATTTGTTTTAAGTGTGGTAAAACAGGTCACATTAGAGCCAACTGCCCCTTAAACAAAAGGAAAGAAAAGGCAATGACTGCAAATTGGAGTGACTATAGCTCAGAAGATGAACCAGAAAACATTGCCTATATGGGGTTGAACTCCAGCAATGATGATGTCATTGTTAATGACCAGGTATGGTCTGATACCTCATCTGAGTATGCATCTGAGTCTCATAATGAAGACTTCTTTCTTCATGCTTTATCAAATTTACAAGATGAATGCAATAGATTAAGAAGCAAGTACCAACTTACCATTACACAACTGCATGATAAGGAAGTTGAAGTACTAAAACTGAAAGAACACTTAAAAATGCAGCATGAAGCTCAAATATCACAAGACACTCAAGTTGCAAATCTTATTGATGAAAATAAGATTCTAAAACAACAAATTAGTAGCTACTATAGAAACAGAAAGAACTCATACTGGGAAACTTCTCGTGCCTATCATGTTAGATGGAAAAATTCTCAATTGTATGAATACAAGAGGTCCTCTTATCCAAAATGGCAACTTAGCTTCTGCTCATTATGCAACAACTCTGGACATACCTATGAACACTGCTACTTCAGAAAACATAAACCCAAACAAGTTTGGGTTGTTAAATCTACTAATTAAATCTACTTTCTTTTCAGAATAATAATGGTGCCAACATTTGGTACTTAGACTCAGGATGCTCCCATCACATGACTGGTAACAAATCTCTTTTTACTGTTCTTAATCCAAAAAGAGGAGGTAAAGTATTCTATGGAAATAACAACTGTGCCTCAGTAGTTGGAAAAGGCACTGTAAGCAGTAACTCTTCTCTTATCATTGAGGATGTCTTATTTGTAGAAGGTCTAAAACATAATTTGCTGTCCATAGGTCAAATCTGTGGGTCTACATATCGTGTTGTGTTTAATCCATCCTGCTGCATCATTGAAAGAATTTCTGATAATACTGTGATCTTTGTTGGCAAGAAAGTCAACAATGTATACACTGTTGACCTGTGTACTCTTGACATCTCAGAAAATATATGTCTAAATTCTATGACTGATTCAATTACCACATGGCATAGAAAACTAGGGCACATGAGTTTCTCTCGCATGAGCAAACTGTCGAGTCTCAACCTAGTAAGAGGACTACCTAAGACTAAATCATCTGAAATCATCTCTTGTGAAGCCTGCATTCTAGGAAAACACTGTAAGAAATCTTTCAAAAGCAAACCAGATATCACTTCCTCAAGTACTTTTGAACTTATACATATGGACTTATTTGGACCAACTAATGTTCAAAGCCTAGGTGGGAAGTCATATGTTCTTGTGATTGTCGATGACTATTCCAGGTTTACCTGGGTTTATTTTCTCTCCACTAAAGATGAAGCTTTCTTAAAATTAAAATCTTTTGTGCTTCTTATGAAAAATCAGTTTGATTGTCTCACTAAAAGCATCAGAAGTGACAATGGTGGAGAATTCATTAATGAAAACTTCTGTAATTTTTGTGATCACTATGGTATATTGCACACCTTTTCTGCTCCTAGAACTCCCCAACAGAATGGGGTTGTTGAAAGGAAAAACAGATCACTTATTGAAACTGCAAGAACCATGCTACTTGAGTATGATTGCCCTAAATTTCTTTGGGCAGAGGCAGTCAGCACTGCCTGCCATGTGATAAATAGAACTGTCATTAGAAAGATCATTAATAAAACTCCATATGAGATCTTAAAAGGAAAATTGCCTAACGTTTCCTATTTTCAACCTTTTGGAACAAAATGCTACATATTGAATACCAAGGATCAACTAGGGAAGTTTGATGCAAAGTCTGACATTGCAATTTTTCTTGGTTACTCTAGTAAGGGTCAGGCTTATAGAGTCTTTAATAAAAGATCAAGGAAAGTTGAGGAGTCAGTCCATGTTAAATTTGAATCATCTGATGTTCATCCACCTCTGTGTACAAATATAGACAACTATGACTTTCTCCCTTTTAGTACAAATGTTGAGACAGGTGTAACAACAAGTCATCAGAAACCACCAGAAACCAGCTCATGTCCACAAGCAAACTCTGATGATTCAAATCATCTCGAAGAAACTGAAGCTCCAGCACACATCAAGAAAAGGCACCCGCCTTCCCAAATTATAGGTAACCTAGACGATCCAATCACAACAAGAGGTAAGTACACCCCAGGTCAGTATGCTTTTGTTTCATTAATTGAACCAAAAAATTATAAGGAAGCCATTCTTGATGAAGAATGGCTACTTGCAATGCAAGAAGAATTGTCCCATTTCATCAGATTAAAAGTTTGGGAACTGGTCCCTAGACCTATAAACTGTTTAGTAATTGGGACAAAATGGATATTTAGAAACAAATCTGATGAACTAGGCTTTATTATTAAGAACAAAGCTAGACTGGTGGCCCAGGGGTACAGTCAAGAGGAAGGAATTGATTTTGATGAATCATTTGCTCCTGTTGCTAGATTAGAATCGATTAGACTTCTATGTGCCTATGCTAGTCTTATGAACTTCAAACTATATCAAATGGATGTGAAAACTGCATTTTTAAATGGTGAAATCAAAGAAGATGTGTATGTTGAACAGCCTCCTGGCTTTGTTGACCATGAATTCCCCAACCATGTCTTTAAACTGTCCAAAGCTCTCTATGGTCTCAAACAAGCTCCCAGAGCTTGGTATGATAAACTAACTTCATTTCTCATCTCTCAAGGGTTCTGTCAAGGAGGAGTTGATAAAACTCTTTTCATAAAAAGAAAGGGAAACCACTCCTTGATAGTGCAAGTTTATGTAGATGATATTGTCTTTGGAAGTACTAACCCATCTATGTGTGAAGAATTCTGTTCTTCCATGAAAAGTCAGTTTGAAATGAGCTTAATGGGAGAATTAACCTTCTTCCTTGGACTTCAAATTAATCAAACTGAGTCTGGAATTTTCATCCATCAAACCAAGTACCTACAGTCTATGTTATCTAAATTTGACTTGATGAATTTAAAACCATGCAAAACACCTGTTGCAACTAATACCCATCTGGATCACGATATAAATGGTCAATCAGTATGTGAAAAGAAATACAGAGGCATGATAGGCTCTCTCCTATATCTAACTGCCAGCAGGCCTGACATTCAGTTCAGCGTCTGCTTGTGTGCTAGATTTCAGAGTACACCTAAAGAAAGTCATCTTAGTGCTGTTAAAAGAATATTT